GACTATTCATGGATCTTTGGAAAAGTCACCGTTTGAGACTTGTTATGGGTTTTTACCTCCGAGCCCGTTTGATCTTGTGTTTTCTAGTGAAGCTACGACCCACGACAAGGAAGAGAGTGAAAGACAATGAGCTCAACGATTTCTGGAGAAGATTGCACATATTCATGCCATTGTAGAAGCATAATTGAAGAAATCACAGGCTAAGTCAAAGCGGAACATGATCAACATTGAGTTCATTGTAATTTTGGTAAAGGTGATATGGTGTGACTGAAGTTGAGTATGGAGTGGCTAAAAGGAGAATGAAAGAAGTTAAAGCCGATACGATATAGTCCGTTTCAAATTCTTGATCAAATTGATGACAACACCTTCAAGCTGGATTTACCACCCTATCTAGGGATGTATTCAGTGATCAATGCCGAATATTTGAAGTTGTTTGAGCCTCCATTGTTGGATGATGAAGGTGATGACAAGATGATCTTACCACATGTTGACGATTTGTGGTTTGATAGAGAAGAACCGCTCAAAGAAGATTACATTTTGGAACAGAAGGTGACTACGATAAGACGCAGGACGAAGGAGTCATTTTTGATCGGACGTCAAGGTCAGGTTCTAGCAAAGCCAGGTGGTTCAACAGAGAGGGAGGGGCTCGCAAGTTTCCTTAGCTTCAGTTCTAACTTGAACGTGACTTCAAGTTCCTAAAAGGGGGAGCCATGATACGGGTGTATCTTCATCCTTGTTTTGGGAGTTTAGCGATCCTCATGGGAGCTTGAGAATAGATGATTCTCATGGTATCTTGAGAATAGAGACGTGGACGAAGTTGTTAAAGACGGCAACATTGTTAAAGACGGCAACATCGAAGAGTACATGAAAACTACAGGAAAACACTTTGGACTTCCAGCGGTCGACCGCGAACGTGCACAGCTCATGGAAAGTCTATGGACTTTTCGCGGTCGATCGCGACGTACTCTGCGGTCAACTGCTAAAACCCTGAAGGCTATTTTTGTCTCGGTCGTTTGCCACGGTCGACCATGATGGGTTTGCGGTCGACCGCCAAACCCTGTAGTCGATACTGAGTTCTGATCATTATGTCCAGAGTACATGAAAACTACAGGAAAACACTTTGGACTTCCAGCGGTCGACCGCGAACGTGCACAGCTCATGGAAAGTCTATGGACTTTTCGCGGTCGATCGCGACGTACTCTGCGGTCAACTGCTAAAACCCTGAAGGCTATTTTTGTCTCGGTCGTTTGCCACGGTCGACCATGATGGGTTTGCGGTCGACCGCCAAACCCTGTAGTCGATACTGAGTTCTGATCATTATGTCCGGTCGACCGCATGTGTCTCTGCGGTCGACCGCGAGTCGGGTTAGGCCTGACTTCCACTTTCCTGTTCGTTTTAGGTTTTGTATTTGGTACATATTAAAACATGACTTTTCTAGTGTTTTCTAAACATATTGTATTTAGAAATGAGATCAGAGAGATTGTTCTTTGATCTAGAGAGATTGTGAGAGAAAGATTTGTAATCTAATTATTTCTCAAAATCTAGAGAATGTATTTTTCTTTGACTAACTCAATTCTTGTGTGTTTTCTTTTGTCTTCTTCACAACCCACTCTTGATAATTCCGCGATCAAGAGTGCTTGTCCGGCGACTCGTATCACTTGTATGCATATTGAAGTGGATTTGATGAATGATAAATCTAAGCAAAAAAATCTTGTTTTGTTGAACATGAATTTGTTGAGGATAATATAAAATAATATCATTCTTTTTCCTGTTTAGATAAGTCTTAGTAAAAATTAAAGTAAAATCATCATATTTTTAAGGAATTAGAATTGATGCATTAATCCACATGGCAGCTCCACATTTATGATAAAAAAATGCTAACCGAATAACTTATTGACTTAAATTCAGTAATTTGTTCTTGCAATTGTAGGTCACATATTTTCATTGCAAAGTTACAAAATATTTTCAAGGAGACAAATAGCCCCTTAATCGTTACAAAATGCAAAATAGAAACAAATCATGCCTACCAAGAAAACAACAAATCTATTTGTGGTTATAAAAAACATCATACTTATTAAAACTCCAAACCCAACATGTTGAAAAGAGAAACAAAACGAGTTGTGCACTTCTATCCTAGTCATTCACCTTTTCTATTTCTTTGCTAAAAAAAGCTGAACTTAACCTAACTTGCTAAAAATGAAGCTAGTTCCTAGTGAAGAGCAAGTTTAACAAGTGATTTATTAGCTTACTAGATTTTATGCACATGCAATGCGCGTGATTGAATATCATGGTTAAATATTTTTTGTTTGTTTCCTTACTAAAATTTGTTTCTCGGTTCTACTTTGATGATTTTTGCTCACTTATGCCTCTAAACTTTAAGCATTGTGATCATTTTATTTTTCTTTGATGTTTATTTAAATGAGAGGCATTCAACTTAAATTTTCATATTGATAATTCAATTGATAGGAAACAATTATAATCCGAAACTAATTTAAATTATCATATTATTTGGACCGATATGAAATCAAACTTGACTTGAGAAAGTATTGTGTTACAAAAGTGAAAAATACTTGAAAAATAACATTATAAAAACTAGATGAATAATTAGAGCTAATAAGATAATATGATTAATTAAAAGCGAGTTAAAACGACACAAAAGAGAATAAGAAGTTTGTTCCTAATCATTGATAGACTTAAAGAAATCATAAATTAAAAATATTTACGCTAACTCTAATACACTATTATATGATGAAAGCATCCACGTAAGCATATAAAAGTACTAAAAAAGTTCATGAAATTCGCTTCTAAAGATTCCTAATTTACATTTAAAAATAAACTATTCTATAAAGTATTCAGAAAATAATGTCTTTCATTCCTTTTATTTTATTTTGTATTGAGCCAACATCAATCATTATCCACTTTTATCTTTTTGATAAAATTAGAATGCATTTAGATGCTGAAAAAGGATAGTAAACCTTAAATTGAAAGTAAAATTTATGTATCTTAATGAACGAATATCAAACAAGCACTTTTTTTTTGCTAAGTTTGAAAGGTTAGTTTTTTTTTGTGATTTTGGATTTCTTAGAGCTTATTTTGTAAATTTTGAAAAATTGAGAGTGTTTTCAAAAAAAAAAAATTAAGTTGGATGCTTGTGATTTTCATGTTTCATGTGTTGATGATAAATTTTTGAATGTTAGGATATATCTTGCTACTCTAAATTTTTAAGGGCATTTTTTGCAATTATTAAATCACTAGTTTGTATTTTATAAAATTCAAAATTTTAGCGCCCTGCTGATAATTTTTAGATCTTATAGTACCTGTTATAGGTTTTAAAATTTCTGGGTTTTTGTCATTTTTATAACTTCAGGTTATTTTTTTGTAAATTTTAAATTTTCAGTTGCATGATGGTAATCCCTTGAATTTATCTTTGTTGTTTGCAAGTTTTGAAATTTTAGAATTAAAATTTCAATGTGTTTCCTTATTATTTAAACTTTTGAGGGTATTTCTACAGTTTTAAAACATTGATAGTGTTAATGGTAAATTTTAAATTCTTCTGAGGCTACTGTTAATTTCCAAATCTCATGTTTATTATTTTAAGTTTTAAAAAAATCAGAATGTTTTGTGTAATTTTAAAATTTTAAGGGTATTTTATGTATTTTTTTAACTTTTTGGATTATTTTGTAATTCTTCATATATAACACCTGTTAATTCTTTACATTAAGAAATTAATATCATGGAGCTATTTTATATATTTTATTAATCATATATATTTTTAACTATTAGGCTGTAAGTAGTTCACATGAGATTCGGATATGATATAATTATAATTAATATAGATTAAAATTTAAATAAAATATCCACAATAATGAAGGGTAAAATGACTATGAAAAACTTTTCCCGAGCTCGTACTTTAAAGAAAGTATATGTATATGTATATGCATATATTATATGTAAGAGTTTTTTTTTTACTTATAAGGATTCAAAAACATATTCATAAATTTTACTTATATTTTTCTTTTATAAGCAGGGAAAATAGAAGCTCAAGATTTTCCAACTTATTATTTTTTTGCATTTATAAAAGAATATTTTGCCCTCTAACGAAATAAGTAAAAATAAATAACGATCGACTTATAAGGTTTCATAAAATAAGTCTTCAACTAAACAAGTCCGAAGAAAGGAGGCCATAAAAAAACTATTTATATGAAATATTACCCACTTGAGCGAAGACTGATGTGTCATATGGTTAATTAATATATTGCTAACCCGCCACACATGTAAATCTTCATTGTTCTTATCATAAGCTGATGAGCATAAAAAGATCATAGCTAATATAGTTGAGATATCATGATCAATAATGAAACTTGTCGCCAGTGAAAGCAAGAGATTGTAGACAAAACTAAATTTGTTAGATATTTACACGTGCGAGCGAAAAGACCAATGCGTCATATTGGTAATTAATATCACAACGTGTCAAACATGCAAATCGCATCTGTTTGAAAATGTTTATTTTTTGAAACTTATAAGTTATGCTGGTTTTTAATGGCTTTTGGTTTTTTTATAAAAATATTATAAAATCTGTTTGAGTAGAATAATAATTTGTTTGGTCAAGCCTAGGTTTTTTTTAAATGAGCTTATAAACTAGTTTTTCAAAAGCTAAGTCATAGCAGCTTTTTAAAATGAGATTTATAAGCTTAACATTTTGACATTTTACTAAAAATATAGAAATAAAAAAATTTAGCTAAAAATTCTGTTTGACTAAAAAATAAGTCCCCTCTAAATAAATACTATGCAAGTACACACCGACCAGGAAAGTGGATATGTTATATGACATATAACGCGTGTGAATTATGATTCTCATTTGAATAATTTTTCTCTCCATTTATTAATTCTTTAATAATAACACAAACAAAATATCTTAAAAGTGAATAACCCAACAGAGGGCAAACAGTCCGTGGAAGGCACGGTTGACTTGTCTTGAAGTAGGCACGTGGTGTGGATTTCAAATTAGGGTTTCCATTTCCATTTTCATGTTGAGAGGCGGAGAGAGAGAGAGAGAGAGAGAGGCCTTTTTCCCTTCTTATCTTTTTTTCGCTCGTCATCTGCTCCCCCTTTTTCAGTCGCATGCGTCGAAATCTCTCCTCCAGGTTTGCCCTAAAAATCCCAGCTTTCTCTCCCCAAAATCTTGTACCCTCTGTTTGAATAATATCCTGTCTGTTCACTGTCTCAGTTCAATCGAGGAAATTAATCGAAACCCAAACCCGTAGACTCTTTGCAACCGTCAATTTCACATTGAACACCACCTTTTGGGGGGTTTTCACACGAGCCTCCAATCTCTGTGAAATCTTCACTTCCTTGGTCTCATCAGCTCTAAAATTTAACTTTTTTTTTTTTTTGCAGTTGGGTTAGTCGGTATTTATGGATTCGGGGCCGGTAGTGCTTGACATTAGCTCCGACGATGAGCCGGATGGGTTTTTGATTAACAAGTGCGAGGATGCTATTAATTATGTCGATTTGGACCAATACTTAGGTTCTGTAAGGAGTAATGGTCGCGTGAGGCCGAAGAAAGTCGATCCGCGAGACGACTCGGATGATGATTGCGTGGTTTTGGAGGAGGATCCTGATAAACTGACCGCGGCGGGTGATGATGAGAGAGACGGGGATGGATCTGAGGATTTGTGCATTGTTGGACAAAAGGGCCAGGTGTTTTTTTATGACAACCTTGATGTTTGTGGCTATGGGTAACTTTGAATCAGTGGAGTCTATTTGATGCTTTGAGCCATGCTTTTTCTTTTCAAATTTCTCGTCTTTACAGGCAGTCTTAATATGTAGATTAAAAAAAAGAAACTAAGGTATTAGAGGAAACTGTGCCCTAGCAATTGAGTCAGTAAGGAATGTTTGATGGCACGATTTTCTATCGGGTCTTATTGATGTTGGTTTGCCTTTCTGGCCGTCTACACTCTTACTAGTTGCAAAAACTTATAACATTATGGTAAAAGTTGCTGGTAATCGGACCTCGTATGCAGCGCATGTATGTTGGTCCTATTTATCTCAAGTGAATTATTTCCAGATGCAAATACATAGCTGATTTCATTTGATTTCATGCTTCAATTCTGTACAGTACTGTGTTTTCAGTTGCTTGCACATATTCCTTTCCTTCAATCTAGGAAATACTTTGGAAGGCCCAACCAAACACTCACTATGTCTGAGATGTTTCCCAAACATGCGATTATTTGTGTACGTTACTTTTAGCGTTGATTGCGTATGGTTCCTGTTGAAGATTTGATTGGTGTTGCACAACAACCACTATTTTGTGCTTTCCTGTTCCTTCGTATGATTTGGAACTTGGGAGCTCTCTTTTATAATGCTTCATTCACTCGTCATCATCAGAATGATAATTCTATGCTGCTTAATTCATTCATTAACATTTTTTATTTTTCAATCCCTATAAAATTTATCACACAATATTTTCTAGGTCTAATAAATGCAAGTGAGGTACTTTCTTAATGGCTTAAACTGTCTTACCTGGCTTTTTATTTAGATGTTAAACCTGACTGACTGACCAGCAAAAAAGTAAAGGCAAAAAATTAAAAATAAGGAAAATACTTGCTCCCTCTTCTTTCGCGCCGTATTTCTTGCTCTTCACTGGTTTCTGGTCACATGTGACATGGTAGAGGTCCAGTGGGTAATCAAATAGTGTGGTGCATCATTAAAAGAATTGTTAGTAGATGTAGAAGCATGATTCAGTCTGAAGGTATATGAGCAATTTCTTTGGTCTGGGCAGACAAGTGATGAGCATATGAAATTTGAAAATCTTCAGCTTACAAGTTCCGTAGTACTAATGCGGCTGATTATCAAGTTTTATTTGCCAATAGAAGTTATACTGCACAAGCTTGAGGGCATATTCCCACTGTGCTCTAATGCTGTTCCCTTGAACTGATTCTCAGTATTGCAGTGTTCTATTTCCATCTCCAAAAGCATCAGAGCGTATAAATTTGTTGAATAGATTGAATGTGTGAACTAAATCTTTTCCTTAATTTTGGAAACACTTCAATTGATCTTTGTACATCTTTTATTTCCTTGAAAGTCCAAATTGAACTCTATATGTCAGATTAAATATACTGTGGTGCAGCTTTAGTTTGTGTCTTACATGCACTTAGGGCATGTCTGGCTACTTCTTATTTTATGGTTCCTTATAACTTACAAGTTCCTTGCTATTTATTTTTACCTATCTGTTAATGGGCAAGATAGTCTTTTGACATCACTAAGTAAATCTACTTATAAGTAGCCAAAACATAAGTTGGGGAATGCTAACTTATTTTTTCATAGCTATAAGTTAAGAATAAGTAATAAACAAACCTTTACGAAACATGATCTTGGCACCTTATAAGTAGAAGGATACTTATAAGTGAAAATAAGTATGTTGCCAAACATGCTCGTAGGCGAGGCATCTCCACAGTAATGAGCATGCATGTTAGGTCCTAGATTAATTTAAAGATCCACAGGCAATATAATTACTTATGTTGTGAAATAGAACCTGTTTAGACCTATTAGGCTCTTACTGCTCAGATTGGTAGATCGAGGCATATTGTAGGGATTCAATAGATCTTAAACAAAAACTGACGTCATACAATTATTGATTTAAAAGCGGGAAAAAAGAGTGGCCAATTGAGCTGGTCACATAAGCACCTGAATGGCTTCTCCTAGTCTTCCTCTTTCTCCTTCGAAATAATATTAATTGCGTAACTTAAATAAGACGTGGATGTTTTGAAGAATTCCAAGAAGGTTTTACACAATAAGTAAACAAGCAATGGCCATACAAAACTATTATGATACTATTGTCCAACTCCTATATTATTCTGGAAAAACAGAAAACCAACCAAAGAAATAATTAAGAAAGAGAAAAGAGAAGAAAGAGTTAAAACTTATTATACTATCTGGGAGGCAGTTAACTGGAAGTGGTTTGCTGGCAATGAATATGGCAATGGTCCTCTACTTGAACCAGTCTGCCAGATGAACATTCTCTAATTCGATGTCATTTGTGGTTTACTTATTGCAGTTAAATACAATGGCAACAATGGTTACACTAGAACTTGGGATTAAGACATCAGAGCAGATAATTTTATTAGACATTCATGGGGAGTACAGGATTCTGTCAAGCAAGTGCTAGAGCCCTCTTTTGCATACCTAAGGAGGCATGTTAACACATGCCCATTCAAAGCTTTGAGACCTCCACCTTTGGCCCAAACTTTATCATGCATGAACGCCTGCTTGTTTGGATATGTTAACTATAAGGTAACTAAGTAGAAGTTCCTAGGATGAGAGGTTAGAGGCTGATCTCTGTCATTGCATGAACACTTACTCTCCACTGCCGTCTTTTGTTTAATTGTTTATAGTGGATACCTGTCATTGCACATTGATTTATCCCAATATGCTGAACCTTATAGTTTCATGTATCTTTCTATAGTAGATTTTATATTTGATCCTGCTTTGTTTGGATATCCCCACATTTTAGTTTGACAGATAACATATTCAAATGGTTTTTTTATTAAGATCCTACATAGGGTGGATATTTTTATCATAAACCATTTACATGTCCAAAGCATGTCAAACATGCATGTCAGACACATTTCAGACACAACACGGCTTCCTGCCTCATTTGTGTAACACACATGTATTGCGTGTGATGTTTAGAAATTTGCAACATTTCATCATGTTGTACCTGCTTTGCCTATCCGGCCCCATGCAACATGTAGCAACTTACAAGTTACAACAGATAAATTTAATAGTTTGGAAGGGGGACTAACACTTTATATGACACAAGTCATTAGAAAATGCCCTCTCCTTTTATGCAGCAATGGCTGTCAAGGAATATGAATTAGAATATGTACCTTCCATCAAACTATATTCTATACATTCAGTTGGTGTTTTCTCAACACATCTAGCTGCCTTGCAGAAATTGCAGCTGTAAAACAGCGAGGTCCCACTTATTGTAAACCTAATAATTGACATTTTTGACTGTTTGACATGTCAAAGTCACTTATAGAATATTTACCTTGTTAACAGCTTTCGTGAAACACAAGCATGACCCACCCCACACAAACATGTACGTGCATACATGCCATTATGCACACACCAACGTTGACCCACAGGTGACCACACTCGTTGAAACACAAGAGTTGGCACACATGACTACAGAGCACACACCCACACGGAGCAGGTTAAACATCAGAGAGTTTAAGTTCCCCTAATGGATACATTATCGACCTGTCTAACTCACTATCTGCACAACAATTTAAAATATGAAACTGTATGTGCAAAGATTGGCTGTAAGCAAAGATTGGCTGAAAAAACCACCACGCCTACAGAGATGAAGATGATTAAAAAAACACTTTTCTGTTAACTAAACCATGCTGTCTAAGTAGCGCACTAGAATTCTCTTAGTGATGCTACTCTTTTATTGCAAACAAAACTAAAACATGCTTGTACTTGACACATTATGTTTTAAATTTAAACATGCTTGCAGTTTGGCATAGGTTCTCAAGCTGCCTCCCCTTAGGCGAGAGATGAATGCGTCTAAGACACTCTTGGCCATAAAGAGATGCCTTCCACATGTACAAAGCCATAAATTTTTACCGTGACCTTCTAAATTCTAAATGTCTAACACTCAGTAGTATGTTGAAGTTAAATTTTGGTTATAATGTGTAATAATGTAATGGTATTTCATATGGTATACACTTATTGTATTTCAGATTTAGGTCACATTACCAGTATTTGACATTTTAATTACATTTATCGGCCTATCAGGTACTTTAATGGAGTGTTGATTAATCATGTAAGGGCTGAACTTAAAGTTAGAAACTTCATTTTATTGTCAAAAGCGGGTCGGGTTGGGTTTAAGAACTCACTAAGTAACAACCCATTACCCAACAATTCAACTCAAAACTCACGCCGATAAAACCGATATTTTCAGCCTCCCTTATCGGCCGATAAGTGCCTTTATCGCCGGTAACTCGTCGATAAACCCATAAAAACGATAACCGATTAAAAATCCTACTTATCCTAGCGGAAAGCTCCCAAATCTGATAATTTGGCGATAATATCGGATTATTGGCTGATATTTAAAACCATGAACATTGCCACTGGCGATGACAATTATCTAAATCCATATAAATTCAAGGAATACTATTGGCATACTTAATTAACTGTCAAACTGAAATGAGAGATGAAATTTTACTGATATAGATGCTGCCTTTTCTATGTTCTTTTCTGTATATTTGGTTTGCATTTTCAATCCAATTTGGTTTTCTTGGATAATTAAGCTATTTTCACATCTTCCTCAACAATATATTTGTTCTTTCGCAAGAATTGAAGTATGCTGATTGCTTTTTTACAATTTAGAGGGGCCAGTTTTACAGTTTGGTGGGCTAAGGGCTTACATTTGTTCAAATTTGGCTAAACAAGGTATATAACAGCAAATAGGGAGAAGCTATTTGTTTTCAATAAACGTCTTGCTTGTGGACTAAAGACAATGTGTTATGTCATGTTGCTGGGTTGAGCGAGGCTAGTTCTAAGTGGAGTAACCGAAGATGTGTGGTGATGCATGGGCTTGAGTGCTAGCAAATATGATGCATGAGTATGATCGTAACCTTGCATAGCAAAAAAGTTGGCCAAGCTTTCAGCATTTTTACTGAGGAAAGTGATTTAGCCACATAAAATGAGATAAAGTGAGAAACTAATGGTTTCACTACTGAAGCACTAGGATCTTGGTGGTTAGGGAGGCAACTTTCCCTTCCCTTTGACGGTGCAATGCCATGCAGTAGATATAGTTAGCAAACTTGTTCATTTTACCGTTTTAACAATCTGACATGCAATCTTGGCTTCCTCTGAACCTTATGTAGTAAATATTACGTCAAATAATAAATAATCCCTTTTGGATAGTGTCTTTGTGATCGAGAGTTCATTGCATGCTGCTGTTGAAACAGAGAGAAATACAAGTTTAAATGTGAAAACTTGGTGCAATGTAAAGAATTTTTTACATGACTTTTAAATACTCACCAGTGACATAGTTTATTGGTTTTTTCATTTACAATCTCAGTGACCTCAAGCCTTTGTATTTGAGTTTACTTTTGAAGCAATACATTGAGGCCTAATGTTTAAGAGTTCTGGCACTGGGAATCAATCAATACATTTCAAGTGATTCAGTTTTGCAAGGTGATTCATGAATTGTAGAATTATTTATGTCCAAGAAATGGATTTATTTGAAATATGATTAACCCTTTGTAGATAACTTTTGTTTGCGATGGTGAACTAACTACTCAAATTAATTTATTTCTTTCAAGTAAAATGTTGAGGAAGAGATAGAAAAGGTTTACACAAGACCCTAAGTAGACCTCTCTCTTTTGTATTATTTGAGTATTGAAATTTCTTTGACATCATTAAGCATTGATTATTAATTTCTCTGTCATATCATTTCACTATTGATCTGACATGTCTTCTTCCTTGGCAGGTAGCTTGCAGGGATTTTCCTCATTCCCGTCATCTTTGTGCCAATTTCCCCTTCAGTACCACTTCCCATGAGAAGCACTGTAATTTGGTAAGATGATATTTTGGCCCATTTTATAAGGAAAAATCGTCACTCTATATAGTATCATATAATTAATTACTACAATCTGATCATTTTGATTATGCAGTGCCATTGTTTTGTCTGCGATTCTCCTGCACCCTGCAACTATTGGGGCAATGGCATATCATTCAGTGATCATTGTCATGCTACCGACAAGGATGAAACATGGAGGCTCAAGAGGAAACAATTCAAGAAAACAAGTACAGCAACTCTGCCATCACAAATGCTTCCTGTTCTGAAGCGTCCACCTATTAGAAACACTCGACCAATCATTACGCACAATCTTCCTTCCTCATCTCCTATTATGCCAAATCAGCCCTCGAGACCACCTACTCTCCGCCCTTGCTCTGCTGCAATCACTTCCACTGCGTATTTACCAGCCCAAAGACCCCATCAAAACCCAACTAATATCTCTCATCATAGACAGACCTCTTTGGGATCATCTTGGTCAGCAGCGACTCAAAGAAAGAGAGTGAATCGTAGTGGTTCAGCTTTGGCTCCTATTTCTCTCTCTCCCTTTAAAAGGGTTGGCGCCTCTGGTTCAATGACTCTGCCTCAGAGACCTCAGCAACCTCGTCCTATTGTGTTATCTAGAACTCAAAGCATGCCTGTAAATTCACCAAGATCTCCATGTACTCCCTTAACTACACAGAGATCTCAGAACGATGACAGCATCAGACAGTGGCAAGATATAATTGCAGGCGTGGCAGCTGAGCTTGGGGTCTCCGAATGTGTTTCCCAACCTTACACACCTACTTCTTCGTCACAAGCTTCAGATATGTCGAGTCAAGGCATGGGGTTGCATACAAATGTTGATCCAACAACATTTTCATCAAAATCTTCTATAGATTTTGATGGTGGATGGCTGGATGGCACAAGTCGGAATTTACCAGGACAAGGTCCAGCCATTTCTGCCAACGACGATGATCTTTCCAGGGATAATCAACTAGGGAGCTTATTAGCACCTGTAGAAAATACTGCTTTTGTGCCTGGTAAAGTAGCCGGTTTGCGTGAAGAGGATCCAGCATCGTTTCTATATGACCTTGATTGCAGTTGGAGTAGCATAGCGAATGTATAGCCACCGTAGTCCTTCAGTGGGCCTCCTTCTAACTCCTTTTTAACCATCAAGTGAAATCTTTTATCAGCTAGAGAGGTTGGTCTATGTATATAGGCTCTTTGTCATCTATAGTTGTATATGCCTTGAACTTGTTCATGTTTGATGCCATCATCTTGCTCTGGTTTAAAGTTATGCCACTGAAACTGAGTGTTCATATGGAGTAACTAGTACTTTATCAATCTCATGCCTTATGAAGGCGGTTTTAGTTATGTTGTTAGTGATGTTCGATATTTTCAAAGCAATTTGTTTGTGTTGACTTTTCCATCTGTTGTGTCGAGCAATGCATTATATTGTGTTGGAGGAGTAAGTTGGAGATTCCTGGGATCATACTGTTAAGAGTTTTCAGTGTGTTCGAAAGATTTTTGAAGAATGCGGAGAAATTGTTGGAGGAGGTTCGCAAGAACACCGCCACCACCAACAACAACAATACCGACAAATTTTCTTCGTCGGGCTTTTTAAATGCTAATAAGCGTGCATTGTAGCTGATTCTTGTCATTGAGAAGCTCAAGCCTCGTAAATGAGAATTATGAGCTTCATCAGAATAGAAGTAACATTTAAAAATAATAATAATATTGAATGATCTCATCTTCTCAAGGCTTTACAAGAAATGCCATGTTGGATTCTCAAAATTGTTCTGATTGTGGTTTTCAAGACGATAGTAGTTTTCAAGGCAGTTGTGGTAATTCTATGTGGCATCATATCATCTCTTGAAATTGGAATAGAATGTAAGGATTGGGGTAATTGGACATTTTCCAATTACCGCCTAATTGGAGAAGATCTGAATTCTCAAATTATTGTCTTTAATTTGTAAAGATCCTTTGTGATTCCCTTTAATCTGCTCTTGTTGAGATTTCAATTTCCGATAGATTAGATTATCATTATTATTATTCCATACAAGTCGTATATACTAGGACATATGTATATGTATGTATGTATACTATGCTGGAGCTAAAATATTTTGAATACATAAAATCATACGGGTAGAACCTCATCTCATCACAATATTCCATATGAAGGATGATGTGCGCTGAACAAATTGATTTACCGAAACCAACCAACTATAAACAAGCTTAGGAATTCTCTTTCTATGTTTGGATCTTCATAGTACATCACTTTTTATCTTCTTAGTTCGCTCATGGCTGAGGAGCGGCAGAATTAAACTGCAGCCAGTGACTGAGCCTGAAGAAGACCCCAGTTACACATCGGTTCCTAAACTGTGCCCAACTTAGCTCGCTCATCACGTCCCACATTTATCAGCAACGGCTCTCTTTCCTCAACCGCCCCAATCTCAACAACGATAACAATCCCCGGTCCTCAGCGGTATATATTAGCATTCTTCGACACGAAATCACCAAAATTTTTTCCTGAACTTATTGTACGTCTTTGACGTGAACACTGCAATCTCAGCATAATCTGCGATAGATGTAGCTCTCTTCTGAAGCTAATTCCCAGCTGAAATTGGCTCTCCGGATGTATTCTTCAACACAAACATGAAGTCATTCTCGCCTGATCGATGAATCAACATTTGATCCTGTTGATAATAGTGTATTGTAGTGGGTTTTAGTCCCACATTGCTTGGGAGAACAAACCTCACACTCCTCTACTTGTATAAATATATGTGCACACTCAATATTCAATTCAAGGGAAATTTACCCAAGATTCTCTCTCTCTCTCTTACTTTAACATGGTATCAGAGCTAGGGCTATTTCCCTTTCAATAAAATTTTTAACGCTTTTGCGTTCTTTTGCCAAATCTTGGCCTTATTGCTTTGCAGCCGTTTAATGTTTTATTTTTTTTTATTTTTATTTTTTATTTGGCGTTCATCTGCCAGATATTTTGGCCTTGTCGTTTTGCGGCCTCTTAACGCGTTTCGCGTTCTCGTTTAACCTTCGGGTTCTATTTTAAACCTTCGGGTTTCATTCTAACCTTCGGGTTCTATTTTAAACCTTCGGGTTTCATTCTAACCTTCGGGTTCTATTTTAACGGCATTGTCGTTTCAAGACCGTCTCTCGGTCTCAAATTAACGGCATCGTCGTTTCAAGCCGTCTCTCGGCCTCAAACGAACGACATTAGTAACAGCATCTCGACATCTTAACGTCTCAAGATTGCTGTTATGGCTCCTTCAGAGAAGATTCCCAAACCACCTTTGCCCCTCAATGATCAAAGTGACTGGGCAGGGTGGTCCACCATTGTCACCAATGCCTTGCGTGGCGCTGGTTTGCTTGATCATCTCACCAGTACGGGACCAGTTCCACCGTCCATCAGCACTGTTGCTTCATCCAGTACTATTGCCTCTGGCAGTGGTGATGTCGATCTTCAGACTGCTCGTGCTCTCTATGTCAAGGAGAGTTCAGAGTGGCAATTGCAGGAATTTCGTGTTATGGATTATCTCACTCGCTGTGTTGGCTCTGGTCTCACTGTCGAGATTGGCTCGCTTCCCTCTGCTCAGGCCATGTGGACTCGTCTCACTGAGCGTTTCACTGAGTGCTCGGGTGCACGGGAGGCATATCTTCTGCAACGCATTTCTCTACAACGCAAAGGTAGTTCATCTCTGCAGTCCCATTTTGGACAAATGCAAGCTTTTTGGACAGAGTTACGCTCCATGCTTCCTGGACGTAATTCCACATATGAAGACTGGCTAGCCTGGTACGAACGGCATGAGGTGCATCAATTGTTTCAGTCCCTTCCTGAATATTCAACTATGGCTGATCAACTACTTCACCAGCCTCAATTTCCGACTTTGGCCTCAGTTATGGGAGCTCTCACTGCTTATGAGACCCGGCAGCAGACAGCACGACTCAATTTGTCAACAGACACTCCTACCTCTTCACTCGAGACTGTTTTGTCTGTACCTGTCACTGCTCCTGTTATGAATTATACTTCTCCACAGGCTCCCTCTCCACAGGCTCGATCTAAGCTCTCTTGCAAATATTGTAAGAAGGAAGGACACCGCATTGAGACATGCTTCAAGCTTCATCCTGAGTTACGTTCCTCAGGTACTGGACGTGGTCGGCGACCCCCTCAGTCTCAACCCTCTCGTACACCAGGATTGTTGGCCAATGCTATACCTTCTACTACTTCAGACTCTACTATTCAAGCTATTGAAAGTCTTCGCCGTCAACTTGATGCTTTTCAACATATCACCTCTACATCCGCCGCACAACTCTCTGGTATGCATTTTGCTGGTTCTTCAGCTAATCCTTCAGTCTCTGGTATGAATGATCTCTGGATTTTTGACTCTGGTTGTTCCTTTCATATGACTTGTAATGCCTCACTTTTATCCTCTGTCTTTACTTCATCCTCTCTTCCTCCTATCTACACAGCTGCTGGACAACCATTGTCCATTACTCAGTATGGCTCTATTACCCCACAAAATGATCCATCTGGTCGTCTAACACTTGGTCCCGTCTATGTGGCTCCACAATTGTGCTTGAATTTAATTTCTATTAGCTCTTTATGCATGGCGGGCCTGTTTGTCTCATTTTCTTCTGATACTTGTATTGTGCAGGATCCACAGACGGGCAAGACGGTTGGGGCGGGTCGTAGGAGGCACAAACTGTATTTTCTGGAATATCTTCACCTTCCAGAGTCCATACGTCCACGTTCTCTTGTTGCTTCTCTTTGTTCGTCAAAACCCTCTACCTCGCTTCCTGCCAATTTATGGCATAGACGACTTGGTCATGTGTGTAATAAAAGGCTGGAGAGTCTTATTCAGTCTGGAGTACTTGGTCCTGTATCATCTAGTTCTAGTATTGAGTCATGTGCTGGTTGCAAATTGGCTAAATTCACTGCTTTACCATTTAAAATGAGTACATCTGTATCCACTTCCTTATTTGATTTAGTACATTCTGATATTTGGGGGCCAGCTCCTTTGCCTTCTTCATCTGGCTACTTATATTATGTTAGTTTTATCGACGATTTCTCTCGTTTTACATGGGTTTACCTACTTAAGAATCGCTCTGACGTACTTACTGCTTATCAAGCCTTCACTGCTATGATTTTCACTCAATGGCAATCTCGTATTAAAGTTTTTCGTTCTGATTGTGCCAAAGAGTACCTATCCTCTGCCATGCGCTCTATCATGTCCTCTCATGGGACTATCTTTCAACAGTCATGTCCCTACACTCATGAGCAAAATGGTGTTGCTGAACGCAAACATCGTCATATCCTCGATACTGCCCGATCAATGCTCATTTCTTACTCTGTTCCTCGTCGTTTCTGGGCTGAGGCTATTCTCACCGCGACTCATGCCATTAATATCACTCCATCTAGCTCTCTTTCCGGTGCTACTCCTTATAGTCGTGTTTATACTCATCCTCCCCGTTATGATCTAGTTCGCGTTTTTGGTTGTCGATGTTTTGTTTTTCTGCCATCTCACGAACGTGATAAATTGTCTCCCAGAGCAGTTTCTTGTGTTTATTTAGGAATTAGTTCAGAACATCGAGGTTATCGTTGTTATGATCCCGCAACTCGTCGAGTTCATATATCTCGTCATGTTCAGTTCGAAGAGGATTCTCCATATTATTCTACTTCTGATGACTTTAATTTCCTCCACTCTACCGATCATGCTTCCCCGTCCACTGCATCACCCACTTCTTCACCTCAATTTTCCTTTCGAGATCTCCCTGACATCTCTCCCTCTCCTTCTGTTGACTCTTCCTCACCTGAGTCTTCTCTTACACCATCTAATCCATATCCTGTGGACACAACTCTCACTCCAGAAAATACTGTTGATCTTCATGCACCTGCGCCAGCATCTCCCCCGCCTGAGGTTCCTCTTGCTCTTCGTCGAGGCAAACGCCCACATGTCATGCCTGCCCGGTATGCTTCTGTTACTTCTTATTCACCTATCTTTCATAACTTTCTTGCTGCCATTCATACTATTGTTGAGCCAAAGTCCTTCCAAGAGGCAGTTCAAATTCCAGAGTGGCGACAAGCTATGGCTGAGGAATTTCAAGCATTTCAGCAAACTCATACCTGGGATATTGTTCCCTGTCCTCCTGGGATCTCTCTTGTTGGCAGTAAATGGGTTTATAAGGTCAAGTTTCGTCCTGATGGCACCATTGAACGTCGAAAAGCTCGTTTAGTGGCTAGAGGTTTTACTCAGCAACAAGGTATTGATTATGAGGAGACCTTTGCTCCT